TGGTCACTCCTGCCTCTACAACTAACCTGGACACTATGATTTGGTCTAGGATGGTCACTACTGCCCTCTCACAACTACGGACCACTATGTCATGGTCTTGAAAGGGTCACTCTTGCCTTCAATCTACTGGACCACTATGAATGGATCTTGGTTGGTCACTACTGCCTCTACAACTAAGGGACCACTATGCATGGTCTTGGATGGTCACTATGCCTCTCAACTACTGGACTTATGACATGGTCTTGGATTGGTAGCTACTTGCCTCTCAAAACTACTGGACCACTAGGACATGGTCTTGGATGGTCACTACTTGCCTCTCAAACTACTGGACCACTATGGACTGGTCTTGAATGGTCACTCTGCCTCTCACCAAACTGGACCACTATGACATGGTCTGGATGGTCACCTGCCTCTCACAACTACTGGACTCTATGACATGGTTGAATGGTCACTACTGCCTCTCACACTACTGGACCCATCTATGACATGGTTTTGGCATGTTCACTACTGCCTCTCACAATACTGGGCCACTTGACAATGTCTTGGATGGTCATCTGCTCTCAAAACTACTGTGGCCACTATGCATGGTCTATGGATGGTTGAACATGGTCTTGGATGGTCACTCCTGCCTCTCACATCTACTGGACCACTATGACATTGGTCTTGGTGGTCCACTCTGCTTCTCAACTACTGTGATGGAAAAAACTGAACCTTCAAAACTAGGGATGCCAAGCCCAGGAAACCTCTCTTCAAATCGTTTGTTTCTCTCTAGACTGGATATTGCTGTCTCAATAACTGCCCCATTTAAAGGCAAGTAGAATTGCTGCCTTGGAGAGGTACAAAGAGACTTCACGGCACAAAAATACGATAAAGCACCTAAATTACTGGGAAGGTTTGAAGTTCCTTGACTTGAACTCCCTGGAACGCAGGCGAGAAAGGATAAATGACAATATATCACTGGAAAACCCCTAGAAGGGACTATTACCAAACGTGCACACTGGAATCACTCCCTATGAAAGCAAAAAAGACTCGGCAGGAGATGCTACATTCACTGAAGGTGAGGAGTCACCACGTGTACACTAAGATATACACAGGTGTCAGGGGGGCCCAAGACTGTTCAACTGCCTTCCCGGCATTACATAAGGGAATGAACCAGTTGACCCCCCCCCTTCTGGGCCGGCTGTTTCAAGACCTTGGGTATCTTCAGATCCCGGGCTGTCTCAAGACCCAGGCGGTCTTCAGACCTCTTGCTGTCTTAAGACCCTGGCCTGTCTTCAGACCCTGGTTGTCTTCGCAAGACCCTGGTGTCTTCAAGGACCCCTGGTTGTCTTCAAGACCCCTGGCTGTCTTCAAGACCCTGGTTGTCTTCAAGACCCCTGGTTTGTCTTCAAGACCTGGGTTGTTTCAAGACCCGGGTTGTCTTCAAGACCCCTTGGTTGTCTTCAAGACATCTGGTTGGTCTTAAGACCCTGACTGTCTCAAGACCCCTGGTTGTCTTCATGACCCTGGTTGTCTTCAAGAACCTCTGGGTGTGTCTTCAAGATCCCCTGGCTGTCTTCACGACCCCTGGTTGTCTTTATCAATACCTCTGGTTGTCTGCAAGGACCCCTGGTGTCTTCAAGACCCCTGGTTGTCTTCAGGATCCACTGGTTGTCTTCAAGACCCCTGGTGTCTTCAGACCCTGGTTGTCTTCAAGACCCAGAGTTGTCTTCAAGGCACTGTTGTCTTTCAAGGGACCCTGGTTGTCTTCAAGACCTCTGGTTGTCTTCAAGACCCTGGTTGTCTTCAAGAACCGGGTTAGTCTTCAAGACTGGCTGTCTTCAAGACCCTGGTTGTCTTCACGACCCCTGGCTGTCTTCAAGACCCTGGTTGTCTTCAAGACCCCTGGATGTCTTCAAGACCCCTGTTGTTCCTTCAAGACCCTGGTTGTCTTCGAGACCCTGGCTGTCTTCAAGACCCTGGTTGTCTTCAAAGACCCCTGGTTGTTATCAAGACCTCTGGTTTATTCAAGACCCCTGGTTATTGTCTTCAAGACCTTGGTTTGTCTTCAAGACCCCTGGGCTGTCTTAAAGACCTCTGGTTGTCTTCAAGACCTTGGTTGTCCTTCAAGAACCCCTTTTTTGGGCTGTCATTCAAGACCCTGGTTGTCTCAAGAACCTGGTTGTCTTCAAGACACTGGGTTTCTTCAAGACCCTGGTTGTCTTCAAGAACCCTGCTGTCTTCAAGAGCTCTGGTGTCTTCAAGACCCCTGGTTGTCTTCAAGACCCTGGTTGTCTTCAAGAACCTCTGGTTGTCTTCAAGACCCCTGGTTGTCTTCAAGACCTCTGGTTGTCTTCAGACCCCTGGCTTGTCTCCAAGACCCCCCTGGTTGTCATTTCAAGACCTCTGGTTTTGTCTTCAAGACCCCTGGTTGTCTTCAAGGCCTCTGGTTGTCTTCAAGACCCTGGTTGATCTTCACGACCTTGGTTGTCTTCATAGACCCCTGTTGTTTCAAGACCTTGGTTGTCTTCAAGACCCATGGTTGTCTTCAGACCTTGGTGGTCTTCAGGATCCTGGTTGTCTTCAAGCCTTGGTTGTCTTTCAAGAACCTGGTTGTCTTCAAAACCTCTGTTGTCTTCAAGACCCCTGGTTTTGTCTTCAAGACTCTGGTTGTCTTCAAGACCCCTGGTTGTCTTCAAGACTCTGGTTGTTTCAAGACCCTGTTGGTCTTCAAAACTCTGGTTGTCTTCAAGACCCCTGGTGTCTTCAGGACCTCTGGTTGTCTTCAAGACCCCTGGTTGTCTTCAAGACCTCTGGTTGTCATCAGGACCCCTGGTTGTCTTCAAGACCTCTGGGTTGTCTTCAAGACCCCTTGTTGTCCTTCAGACCCCTGGTATGTCTTCAAGTACCCCTGGTGGTCTTCAAGACTCCTGGTTGTCTTCAGACCCCTGGCTGTCTTCAAGACCATGGTTAGTGTTTCAAGAACCCTGGTTGTCTTCAAGACCCCTGGGTTGGCTTCAAGACCCCCTGGGTTGTCTTCAAGAACCTGGTTGTGTTCAAGACCCCTGGTTGTCTTTCAAGACCCCTGGTTGTCTCAAGACCCATGGTTGTCTTCAAGACCCCTGGTTGTTTTCAAGATCCTGGATTGTCTTCAAGATCCCTGGTTGTCTTCAAGGGACATGGTTGTCTTCAAGGACCCCTGGTGTCTTCAAGGACCCCTGGTTGTCTTCAAGACCCCCTGGTTGTCTTTCAAGACTCCTGGTTGGTCTTCAGACCCCTGGTTTGTCTTCAAGACCTGGTTGTTTTCAGACCCCTGGTTGTCTCAAGACCCCTGGTTGTCTTCAAGACCCTGGTTGTCTTCAGATCCCTGGTTGTCTTCAAGATCCCTGGTTGGTCTTCAAGACCCTGGTTGTCTTCAAGGACCCCTGGTTGTTTTCAAGCCCCTGGTTGTCTTCCAAGGACCCTGGTTGTCTTCAAGACCCTGGTTGTCTCAGATCCCTGGTTTGTCCTCTAGATCCCTGGTTGTCTTCAAGACCCCTGGTTGTCTTCAAGACCCTGGATGTCTTTCTCAAGACCCTGGCTGTCTTTCAAGGGACCCCTGGTTGTACTCAAGACCCCTGTTGTCTTCAAGACCCTGGTTGTATTCAAGATCCTGGTTGTCTTCAAGACCCTGGTTGTCTTCAAGATCCCTGGTTGTCTTCAAGACCCCCTGGTTGTCTTCAAGACCCCTGGTTGTCTTCAAGACCCCTGGTTGTCTTTAAGACCCCTGGTTGTCTTCAAGATCCCTGTTTGTCTTCAAGACCCCTGGTTGTCTTCAAGACCCCTGGCTGTCTTCAAGACCCCTGGTTGTCTTCAAGACCCCTGGTTGTCTTCAAGACCCCTGGTTGTCTTCAAGACCCTGGCTGTCTTCAAGACCCCTGGTTGTCTTCAAGACCCCTGGCTGTCTTCAAGACCCCTGGCTGTCTTCAAGACCCCTGGCTGTCTTCAAGACCCCTGGTTGTCTTCAAGACCCCTGGCTGTCTTCAAGACCCCTGGCTGTCTTCAAGACCCCTGGCTGGTCAGTACCTGTGATTCCTACACTGGTGTACATGCAGCCAGCAGTAACAGCCTGGTATCCATCACGAAGCCTGGTATTATTATTATTATTATTATTATTATTATTATTATTGTTATTATTATTATTGTTATTATTATTATTATTATTATTATTATTATTATTATTATTATTATTATTATTATTATTATTATTATTATTGTTATTATTAATATTATTATTATATTATTATTATTATTATTATTATTATTATTATTATTATTATTATCACAATAAATTTAGTAATTAAATTATTATTTATTAATAATTTATATCGGTAATGGAACAAATATTTAGATAAAAAATAATAAAATAATTTAGTGTCGTTGTCTTCGGTATTGTTTTATGCAATAAAAATTCAGTTTAATGTGGAAATAAAGTATTTAGTTATTTATTTATTTTTTACTTATTTATTGATAGTGTTAATGGGAGAATTATTAATGTTTATAGAGATAAAAAATAATAAATAGTTTAGGGTCGTTGTCTTCGGTATTTTATTCAGTAGAAATTTAGTTTTATGTGGAAATAAAGTGTTTATTTATTTATTTATTTATTTATTTATTTATTTATTATTTATAATGTTAATGGGAGAATTGTTAATGTTTGTTGAGAGATAAAAAAAATAATAAATAATTTAGGGTCGTATTTTTTTATGCAATAAAAATTTAGTTTAATGTATAAATAAAGTATTTATTTATTTATTTATCATTTATAATGTTAATGGGAAAATTATTAATGTTTGTTGAGAGATAAAAAAATAATAAATAATTTAGGGTCGTATTCTTTTTTGCAATAAAAATTTAGTTTAACGTATAAATAAAGTATTTATTTATTTATTTATTTATTAATTCTTAGTAGTAATAAAAGAATTAATAATGTTTATAGAAATAAAAAAAATAATAAATAATTTAGTGTCGTTGTCGTTGTTGTTGTTGTCAGTTAATGGCGACTCAAGTCTCTTATTTAACAGTTTTTATTCACTTTACACTTATATAAGACACTTTATGACCTGTGTTAAGTGTGAGGTGAGTGTCAGGGCGCCTCAGGCACATGATAATGAGGGAGAAGTGGTTTTTAAGGCCGTAAAACTGGTTTATTTGGGGTGGTTTTTACCAGCTTGGAAATAACCAGGTGATTCTCGTCTTGGTTTTTATTGACTTGACACTTATTTAAGGCGGTTTTTTTTACTTATACTAAGTATGATGTGTCTCAGGGAGGTTTTTAAGAGGTTTATTTGAGGTGGTTTTTAAGAGGTTTATTTGGGGTGGTTTTTAAGAGGTTTATTTGAGGTGGTTTTTAAGAGGTTTATTTGAGGTGGTTTTTAAGAGGTTTATTTGAGGTGGTTTTTAAGGGGTTTATTTGAGGTGGTTTTTAAGAGGTTTATTTGAGGTGGTTTTAAGAGGTTTATTTGAGGTGGTTTTTAAGAGGTTTATTTGAGGTGGTTTTTAAGAGGTTTATTTGAGGTGGTTTTTAAGAGGTTTATTTGAGGTGGTTTTTAAGAGGTTTATTTGAGGTGGTTTTTAAGAGGTTTATTTGGGTGGTTTTAAGAGGTTTATTTGAGGTGGTTTTTAAGAGTTTATTTGAGGTGGTTTTTAAGAGGTTTATTTGAGGTGGTTTTTAAGAGGTTTATTTGAGGTGGTTTTTAAGAGGTTTATTTGAGGTGGTTTTTAAGAGTTTATTTGAGGTGGTTTTTAAGAGGTTTATTTTTAGGTGGTTTTTAAAGAGGTTTATTTGGGGTGGTTTTTAAGAGGTTTATTTGGGGTGGTTTTAAGAGGTTTATTTGAGGTGGTTTTTAAAGAGGTTTATTTGGGGGTGGTTTTTAAGAGGTTTATTTGAGGTGGTTTTTAAAGAGGTTTATTTGGGGTGGTTTTTAAGAGGTTTATTTGAGGTGGTTTTTAAGAGGTTTATTTGAGGTGGTTTTTAAGAGGTTTATTTGAGGTGGTTTTTAAGAGGTTTATTTGAGGTGGTTTTTAAGAGGTTTATTTGAGGTGGTTTTTAAGAGGTTTATTTGAGGTGGTTTTTAAGAGGTTTATTTGAGGTGGTTTTTAAGAGGTTTATTTGAGGTGGTTTTTAAGAGGTTTATTTGAGGTGGTTTTTAAGAGGTTTATTTGAGGTGGTTTTTAAGAGGTTTATTTGAGGTGGTTTTTTCAAGACTGGAGAAATTCTAGGTAATTCTCATTTTTTTTTTTTCAGTTTATATTGTTTTACGACAGGTTTCTGACCTTGATCGAGTATAAGGTGCGTCTCGGTGCCGCCACTGGGAAAAGTAATAGATAAAAAATTGTTTTTTACGACCCTAGAAGAGAATTTTGTGTAGGTTTTTTCAAGGCTGGAAAAAAGCGAGGTAATTCTCTAGTTTTTTATTCACTTTACACTTATATAAAGCCGTTTTTGACTTGTGTTGAGTGTGAAGTGAGTCTCGGGGCCGCTGCGGCGAGATGGTAAACTGTCCGAGGTGGTTTTTGCGACCCTAAAAGAGGTTTTTTAGTTGTGGTTTTTTTTTCAAGACTGGGGATTAACGAGGTAACTCTCGTCTTGTTTTTTACTCACCTGAGACATGTTTTAACCTGTGTTGAGTGTGAGGCGAATCTCGGGGCCGCCACGGGGAAAAATACAGCCTCTCCACGCCTAACGATGTAGTTCCGCTCCCGAGAGTAGGTCGGTAAATGAATTGGTCGTTAAGTGAGGAACGTACTGTAATGGTAGTGGGTTTGTGTCAACCATCGTTAGATATATTTTTAATGTCACTTTTACACCATTTATAATGTTTCTGGTATATTTTTAAATGTTTGTACGGTGGTTTAACGTACAGCGTCTCCTCACTTAGTGACGTATACTTGTTTATCGATGCCTCGGACTTATGACAGGCTCTCTGAGCAGTATTTATACCTAAATAATATATATTAGAGCTGATTGCCTCTATTCTGTTTATTACAATATACAGTGGTACTTCGGGATACGAAAACCTCGAAACTCGAACAATTATGTAAGTGTATTTATGTAAGTGCTTTTTTTAAGTGTATTTTTAGGGTCTGAAACGGATTAATCGAATTTACATTATTCCTTATGGGAACAGATTCGTTCGGTAACGGCACTCAAACAGCCTTCTGGAATGAATTAAGTTCGTATCCCGAGGTACCACTGCACAGTACAGTACTGTGTAAACATTAAAAATATACCAGAAATGTTATAAATGATGCAAATGTGACATTAAAACAATATCAAAGATGGTCGACACAAACCCACTACCATTATAGTATGCTCCTCACTTAATGACGAATTTGTTTACCAACGTATTCTTAGGAACAGAACTCCGTCATTAAGTGAGGAGAGGCTGTACATTAGAAGTGGTTCTTATGACCTTAAAGAAGATTTTTGGTGGTGGGTTTTTTAAGGCTAGAGATAATGAGGTAATTCTTGTCTTTTTTTTTTAGTCACTTTACACTCGCCTGAGACACCTTTTTGATCGATATTGAATGTGAGGTCAGTCTCTAGGCAGCCACAGGGAGATAATAATTGGTCAAAAAGTGGTATAATAATATTTATTTATGCTAATTCTTAAGGTTCGTTGCATTTATTGTTTCTTAATTTTTATCGTTGTTCAGTATTTATTGTGTTATATACATATATTTATTTTTTTATGTGTGATCAGAATGATGTGTAAATGATGCCTAGAATCAATGTGTTCAATCTATCAATCTTCAAGATTGATAGACTGATCACATCGATACCAGACTGAGGGACTGTTTACCTCAAATTCCTCTTTTTCCACCATTCTTCTCTGTATTAGACTGATGAAGCCACTGTCTGGAGAAACATTTCCTCAGTAAAGATTCGCAAACATTGTGCACGTGTCTTACTCTTCAAAAATCACAACTACCTTCATAAAACAACAGCACATAGGTAAATAAGAATGACGAAGTTTTTCATGCTTTTTATCATGTCCGCAGGTGTGTCACGATGGCATCGCACGAGGAAGTTCCTGCGTCGTCAGGAGCCAGAAAAAGTGAGGTTTAACCCCACCATCTTTCATATTTTGTACAGGTGCTCCTGGACTTACAATGGGGTTACATTGCGATGAACCCATCGTAGGTTGAAAATATTGCAAGTTGAATATGAATATATGATAAATAAATAAGTTATTGTCACTGAATAAGCAAACAAAATAATTACCGTAAATAACTAAATACCAGTACTGAAAAGTCAGTAAATGTACAGTACTGTACAGTGCTTTACGATGGCGTGAAGTTGAAATATCATAAATCTATACACAAATAACCTGCACATAAAAGAGAGAAGCTTACAATGATGTTTCGGTCCGACTTGGACCATTTACAAAGCCACACTAACCAGAAGTGGAGCAGGACGGCTGGTTAGTGTGACTTTGTAAATGGTCCAAGTCGGACCGAAACATCGTCGTAAGCTTCTCTCTTTTATGTGCGGGTTATTTGTGTATCGTTCCAGTCATGGTATTGTGCCTTTTTTTGTTATCATAAATCTAGCCTTCATAGAGCAAGGAGCATCTATTGTTCTCTGTTATTGTAAATTCGATTAAAAAAAAATGAATTCAAAATTGAATAACGCATGGAAAGTCTTCATAGTACATGCTATTCAATTTTGGATACATTAGGGCCCCACCTGTTCAGCAGGTTAGGTTCCAGGCTACTGCTGTAAAGTGAAACACAGTGTATTTTTTTTTTTTTCACTTTCAAATGCATATAAAAGCCTGATGACATGTTTACACTATCATATATTAAATGAGTAATAGAGCTAGGCCTAAAAAATGCATGTACAATACACACATTACTCGCCTTAAAATATTTTCATCCCTAGCTCATAGTGGTGAATGTATTTATTATAGGACGTGTGAATAAAGTGTAAAGCAGGGCCCGCCTGTATGTAGAATAGTGGTATAAGAGGACTTACTGTATTGCCTGAAGAGAGGGAAGGGAGCTGCACCTCTCTTTGAAAAGAAACGAGATCAAATAAAGATGTGAAGAACACACCAGGCATCTTTACTGACGATTGTAAGTCATCTCTGTAATCGACTGAAGAAGCCAGCAGTGCAGCTGAAACGGTTTGTCGATAAAGGTCCCTCGTGTGTGAAAAAGGTACTCTGTGTACTGTTCAAGACTTATAAGAGGAAAAAATTCTCTACAAATGGCCTCTTCAGTCCAGGTGACATTTTAAATTATTATGACCTTTACAACAGTGACATTTTCCACATGATGTTGTTGCTATGATTTACTTTGAAAGATGTCTAGGGTTACATGTTCCTTATTCAAAATTACCTAGCAGTGTACATGTATCTCTCACAAAGATACCTAGTGTTGGACACGTGTCTCACACATGGTTATTTGTCTCACTCATTATGTGTCTCAGGACAGCGTGTGGTGGTGGTAACAGAGTACGAGGGAGAGTACCACACTGCGGGAGAGTACGCGTTGGCCCTGCGGGCCTGGATGAATCACCTGTACCAGCTACAGTGTGTGGTGGCCACCTTTCCCTACTTTCTGGCCTCAGTCCAGTCCCAGGTGAGAGTTCGTGGGGTGCGTGTTGTGTAACCACCAGGAAATGTGTTTTGAAAGCCCCTATATATATGCAGAGCATTTCTGGCAAACTTAAGACTAACTTAACCCTTAAACTGTCCAAACGAAGATCTATTTTCACGTGCATAGCGCTCCGAACCTAGATCTACTTTTTTTTTACATGTCTTCAGATGTAAAAAAATAAGGTCGGAGCGCTACGCGCATGAACATAGATCTTCATTTGGACAGTTTAAGGCTTAAGATTAATGTCAATAACAATGAGTAATTTTGTATATACAGTCGCATGGGTGAGTGTAAGTACAGTGGACCCCCGGTTTACGATATTATTTCATTCCAGAAGTATGTTCAGGTGCCAGTACTGAACGAATTTGTTCCCATAAGGAATATTGTGAAGTAGATTAGTCCATTTCAGACCCCCAAACATACACATACAAATGCACTTACATAAATACACTTACATAATTGGTCGCATTGGGAGCTGATCGTAAAGCGGGGGTCCACTGTATAAGTTTAGGAGTTTACAGTGAATACAAGAGAATTGAATATTCTGTTAATTCATGCTATACAGACATAGATTTTGGAGTGGTAAATTTTTAATTATTCATTATTTTACATTATTACACAAGAGAGGTAGTCAAAATTTTTTAATAAATTTATAGTAGAGAGATAGTATAATAACAAAGTATTATGATTAGTACAGTTTACAGTGTTACAACAGTACAATTTTAAGTGTGTATTAATATTTTAGATTGATTTAGGGGTCTTAATTGGGATTTGGATGGGGAAATGGAACAGAATTCTTTCTCCGTAAGCCATGCATGTCATAAGAGGTGACCGATATGCTGGGAGCGAGGGGCTAGTAACCCCTTCTCCTGTATACATTACTAAAATTAAAAAGAGAAACTTTTTTTTTTTTTTTTTGGGTCACCCTACCTTGGTGGGATACGGCCGGTGCGTTGAAAGAAGAATAATTAGGATTTCTTGAGTAGTTTCAAACTGGTTTCAGACCGGGCCGCGGGGGCATTGACCCCCGGAACTCTCTCCAGGTAAACTCCAGGTAATAGTGTTGGTATAGTTAAGTTTGGGAGACGAGATGATTTTTAATTATAGCTCTAAATTGACTGGTAGACAGGGGACCTTTTGCTGGTTTAGTTCGGATCTTAGGGCCCTTTATGTGCATTATAGTTTTGCATAGGGGGAGATGGATATGAGGGATGTCAAAGTGAGTTTTGTGGCTTGTGTTGTGCCTGTGTGTGTTCTGTTTTTCTGAGAGCAGGAAGAGCCCTGGTGTCCTGTCCATCTAATTCTCTTCCGTAATTTCAGACTACCACTTACGGCGGAGTTGAATCTTTTACAACCACTGCACAGACGTCTACTCATCAACTACAGCCTCGACCAGAGCCTGCACCGAGGTTGTCTGCAACACAGCAGCAGCAACAGCAACAGCAGCAACAACAGCAGCAGCAACAGCAACAGCATCAGAGAGGTATCAATTATTTCTCCTTGCTCCTTTCCTTTATTCTCTCTGCCTACTCCTCTTCTTTCTACATAATTACAGGTGCTCCTGACTTATGATGGTTCAGCTTCGAATATTTCAACTTACGAAGGTGCAGCAGCAATTACTTTGGAGATAAATCTTAAGATAATTCTCCAACATGGAGGCAGCAAGTCCCTAACTTGTATTCGGTGGGAGACGGCCAACTTGTTGAAAAAAAAAAAATAATTTATTTACTTATTCAGTGACAGCACTTATGTATTTCTTTCCTTTCAACACACCGGCCATATCCCACCAAGGCGGGGTGGCCCAAAAAGAAAAACGAAAGTTTCCCCTTTAAATTTAGTAATTTATACGGGAGAAGGGGTTACTAGTCCCTTGCTCCCGGCATTTTAGTCGCCTCTTACAACACGCATGGCTTACGGAGGAAGAATTCTGTTCCACTTCCCCATGGAGATAATAGGAAATAAATAAGAACAAGAACTAGAAAGAAAATAGAAGAATACCCAGAGGGGTGTGTATATATATGCTTGTACATGTATGTGTAGTGTGACCTAAGTGTAAGTAGAAGTAGCAAGACATACCTGAAGTCTTGCATGTTTATGAGACAGACAAAAGACACCAGCAATCCTACCATCATGTAAAACAATTACAGGTTTTCGTTGTACACTCACTTGGCAGGACGATAGTACCTCCCTGGGTGGTTGCTGTCTACCAACCTACTACCTAGGTACTTATGTATTTACCTGTTCATTTAGCACATCATATTCGTATTCGACTTATGATATGCAGTGCACTTTGTGAAGGGATGCAGGGAAGCCAGTTAGCCGGACTTGAGTCCTGGAGGTGGGTAGTACAGTGCCTGTACTCTGAAGGAGGGGTGGAGATGTCTGCTGTTTGGAGCGACATCCAAACTGTTGTATCTGAGTGAAAGTGTTTCTTTTTCAGAGCACCCTGCCTCAGTGGGAGACAGCAATGCATGTTGAAACAAAAACTGCGTTGTATAATGTTTATAGTAGTTTATACCAAATGTTACGACTTTGATGTCGTAAATTAAATAAAATGTTCCTGGCTCCTAAAGGCTGCTCCTGTCCTGGCCACTGCCTGACTGACAGGAATAAAACGCGTTCACTTTCCGTATACTACACGGAAAATAACATGATACACCTACCATCCGACTTACGACCTGCTCGACTTATGACCACTCGACTTACGACCGTGTTTTTTATGCCAAATTTCTGGGAAATAAACAAGTATTTGTGTTGTACACAGTGTTTATCCTAAACCTTACAGTATAAAATACAGTACTAACGACATAAAAAGTAAAGTAAAACATGAAATACCAAAATAAAACAATAAAATAGTCATTACAAAAATGTTTTGTTGATATTCAGTAGTAAAGTTCGACTTACGACCATTTCGACTTACGACCGGTTTCTCGGAACTGAACTCGGTCGTAAGTCGGATGGTAGGTGTATATGGAGCATTATTTCTTGTATAAATTTTACTGTAGCACACTGCGTAACACCAACACAGTAATGTTTATAGTAGTTTATACCAACACTATAATGTTTATAGTAGTTTATACCAATGCTATAATGTTTATAGTAGTTTATATCACACAGTAATGTTTATAGTTTATACCAACACTAATGTTTATAGTTTATTCCACTTTTGTTTTTACACTAGGTCGACCTTGTATAAACATTAATTGTTTACATTTTGTGCACTCAGGAGTGGAGTACACGATCCCGCCACTGTGGAAGAGACTCATCGCCGAGGTCATAGACTTCCTCCTCCTGTTTGCTATCAAGCTGGCTGTCACCTTCGCTGCCGTCGACGCCTTCGATCTGCTGTGCGTTTGTGTTCTCTCGAGTGGTTCTCGCTGGTATGATGGTACCACAAGCTGTGGATAAATAGATAAATAAATAGATAAAAACTTTACTTTCACAAGATATGGGTGGTCTTTGACTTACAATGGGGTTACGTCCCGACGACCCATCATAAGTTGAGAATATCGTAAATCGAGAATATCGTAAGTCAAAAATATCATCAGTCGAAAATATCATAAGTCGAAAATATCGTAAGTCAAGAATGAATATGAATATGATGTGCTGAATAAATAAACTACTGTCACTGAGTAAGTAAATAAATAATTACTGTAACTAACTAAATACCAGTATTGAAAAGTCAGTAAATGAATACTAGTTAGGGACTTAGCCCTTCATGTTGGGTAGTTATCTTAAATTTCATCTCCAGAGTAATTGCTGCTGCACCATCGTAAAGTTGAAATATGGTAAAGTCGAACCAGCATAAGTCGAGGACCACTTGTACACAGTTTTTAGAAGATTGTGACATTCGATAGAACTCTGGCATTTCTGGCAGACTTATGAAGCTACTCATATATTTTCTTCAATAAAATTAAAATCTAATTTTTATACACCATAGAGAGGTCAGCATGGGCCACCACTGTGACCACTACACTAGTTAACGCACTGGTCTGGAATTTTAAGACTGACTCACCATGGATTCAAACTTCACTCGTTCCATGGTTTGCAATCTTGTTACGATTTTATGAGTGGTGGTGGTGACTTTGAGGGGACTTGAGCTAGAGTTCCACACAGCCATGCTGGTGGGAAATTCGTCTGTAAAAACTTGCATTTGTGGTCACAGTGGGACCCATGCTAACCTCTCTATGGTGTATAAATGTACCTAGCTGGATGAATCTTATTATAGCAAGCTGGCCCAGTGGCTTACGTACTGGTCTGGGGTTTTCTGATTCACTTGCCGTGAGTTTAATCCCCACCTGTTCTGTGGTTTGTTTGCAACTGCATTATTGTGTTTTTGCGAGTCAGGAATTTTAATTAAATATTGGTGACTGTGGGCAAACAGATTCCGAATTCTTAACATTTGAACAATTACCAGAGGTATATTATGTTCTTAAGATATTGGCAGTTTGGAGGGATATGTTGTGTATCTCTATACGTATATGCTTCTAAACTGTTGTATTCTGAGCACCTCTGCAAAAACAGTGATAATGTGTGAGTGTGGTGAAAGTGTTGAATGATGATGAAAGTATTTTCTTTTTGGGGATTTTCTTTCTTTTTTGGGTCACCCTGCCTCGGTGGGAGACGGCCGACTTGTTAAAAAATAAAAAAAAAAGTGATGGTACTATTTTAGGTACAACTGTTCAATTTTTTAGGTACAAATGTTATTTATTTTTAGGTATGGATGTTGATTTCTTATTTTTAGGTATGAACATTAGATTTTTTTTGTATCTCATAGAAATGCCAAGAAATCATATTGTTTTCAACAGAAGTGACATCGAAAAGTACGACTTTGAAAACCTGGGTGCAGACATCATGTCAGATTACAAAATGGCGCTGGACATGACGTCGGAAATCCTTGTACTGGAGCTCATACATCGTATTGGTACCTGTGTTTTTGAGGTGAGTTTCTCTTTCTCTTTCACGATTACCTTCACAAAAATAATAATAACTAATAATAATAATAATAACAACAGGTAGTAGGTTGGTAGACAGTAACTGCCCAGGAAAGTACTACTGTCCTGTGGTAGTAGGTTGGTAAACAGCAACCACCCATGGAGGTACTACCGTCCTGTGGTAGTAGGTTGGTAGACAGCAACCACCCAGGGAGGTACTACCATCCTGTGGTAGTAGGTTGGTAAACAGCAACTGCCCATGGAGCTACTACCATCCTGTGGTAGTAGGTTGGTAGACAGCAACCACCCAGGGAGGTACCACAGTCCTGCCAAGTGAGAGTATAAGAGAAGCCTGTATTGTTTTACATGATGGTAGGATTGCTGGTGTCTTTTCTCTGTCTCATAAACATGCAAGATTTCAGGTACATCTTGCTACTTCTACTGACACTTAGGTCACACTACACATACATGTACAAGCATATATATATACATGCACCCCTCTGGGTTTTCTTCTATTTTCTTACGAGTTCTTGTTCTTGTTTATTTCCTATTATCTCCATGGGGAAGTGGAACAGAATTCTTCCTCCGTAAGCCATGCGTGTTGTAAGAGGCGACTAAAATGCCGGGAGCAAGGGGCTAGTAACCCCTTCTCCCGTATAAATTACTAAATTTAAAAAGAGAAACTTTCGTTTTTCTTTTTAGGCCACCCCGCCTTGGTGGGATACGGCCGGTTTGTTGAAAAAAAAAAATACTAACTTGTAAAATAATAATAAAAAATAGTGACGTGTAAAATAATAATAATACGATGTAAGCAACAGCTTTATGCCTCCATTAGCATATACACATTAGTTTTTTTTTTTTTTTTTTGCACACCGGGCCATCCCCGACCAAGGCAAGGTAATCTGGAAAAGAAGAAACACTTTAGCTATCATTCATGCAATCACTGTCTTGCCAGAAGTGTGCTGATATCACAGTTCAGATGACCCTCTGAACTGCACCAGGCTTGTGTAAGAGCTAGATAGGAGTGAGTGGAGGCAAGTGACCTCTATGATTTGACATGCTGTTGGAGTGTGAGTGGAGCAACATGTTAATATTTGTACTAAATGACACAACTCCACATATTTATACAACTGTGTTGAAGAGTTAGACATGTGCAACATCTAATGGCTTTATCAATACAATATACAGTGGACCCCCGGTTAACGATATTTTTTCATTCCAGAAGTATGTTCAGGTGCCAGTACTGACCGAATTTGTTCCCATAAGGAATATTGTGAAGTAGATTAGTCCATTTCAGACCCCCAAACATACACGTACAAACGCACTTACATAAATACACTTACATAATTTGTCACATTCGGAGGTGATCGTTATGCGGGGGTCCACTGTACAAGGACATAATATTTTTTTTAACTCATCAGCTGTTTTCCACCAAGGCAGGGTGGCCCGAAAAAGAAAAACTTTCACCATCATTCACTCCATCACTGTCTTGCCAGAGGCATGCTTACACTACAGCTATAAAACTGCAACATTAACACCCTGTAAAAGATTAAAAAACCCTGTAAAAGACTGTAAAAGTATTTACAGGTAGTCTTCTACTTACAATGGGGTTACATTCTGACAAACCCATCGTAAGTCAAAAATAATGTAAGTTGAACTTGAATACACTAAATCAATAAGTAAATAAAGATGGTCCTCGACTTAAGTTGGTGCTACGCTCCGATGAGCCCATCCTAAGTCAAAAATAACGTAATTCAGATATGAATACATGGTAAATAAATAACTTAGTCACTGAATTAGTAAACAAACGAACAATTACTGTAACGAACTAAATGTACAAGTTATGGACTTGTTACCTTCATGTTGGGTATTTATCTTAAGTTTCATCTCCAAAGTAATTGATGCTGCACCATCGTAAAGTTGAAATATTGTGAGCTTAGGAGCACCTGTACAAGGACATAATGTGAGGACTGTAGAAGCACGGTAGAACCCCATATCTGCGGATTCAGTTTCCGCGGTTACCGTTATCCATGGTTTACCATGTCCCAATAATGACCTTTAAGCTTAATAATGGCCCAAAAAGTGCAAAAGTAGTGATGGTGGCAGTTGTTCAAAGCCTAAGAGAAGCCATAAACTGCTTTCCATCTGTGAAAAAGTGACAATTCTCCACTTACTGTATGTAATTTATTAATTAAACTTTATCATAGATATGTTTGTAAACGAAATTGACTTGTATATTGGGTTTGCTACTATCCGTGGTTTTGGGCATCCACGGTAGGTCTTGGAAAGTATCACCTGTGGATACAGAGGTGCTGCTGTATATACTGCTGTATATACAGCAGCACCTCTGTATATACTGCTGTATATACAGAAGATGAGGTAATCAGTCCCTCAGCCTAGGAGCAGGTGATGACCACCATAGTCTTGTTGCACACTTGTCTAAGTCTTCATCTTGTTGGTATTGCATACCATTCATTTACAAATATGTTATGGGCAGGCTCTGTGTTTACATCGCGGCTCTGGGGGAGCAGGAGGTGCGACGCCAGGCAAAAAGCTGGTAGGCCTAAGGGTGGTGCGCTGCGAGTGGGTGGCGCCAACCGCAGCTGACCAGGCATTGGTGTACCCGGCTACTGACCTGGGGTAGGGCCACCAGGGCACTTTAATAATACATAATAATAATAATAATGATAATACTGTATTTCAGCATGATACAATGTACAATAATGCTTGACATAATACAGCATACAATGATGCCTTATATAATAGTGTACAGTGATGCCTGACATAATACAATGTTTGTACAGAGACAGGCAACATTTAGTCATACATGCAGGACGTCCATAGTTATGCAGAGCATTTCGGGCAAACTTAGGCCTATCTTAAGACTACAACATCAGTGATTATCATTTGCATATATTTATGGACAATACAAGAATACAAACAGAAAATCTAGTCTTTACAAATAGAAAAAAGAAGCGGCCAGCCAGTGATAGTTAAAATACCTCTGTAAACATTTAATATTAACATCACTCTTAATTTCTTGCAATCCCACTGAATTAGTGAGGTAAATTAAAATATTTTGTATCAAGAAGGCAAACGAATGCTGACTTGAGGATGTTAAAAAATATGGACACCTTCGTTGTTTTGGTCCTCGGACCTTGATCAAGCTCCAAGACCAAAACATCTGAGTTAATGTATGTGCGTCCATTTTTTATACACAAATAACCTGCACATAGAAAGAAATTTACAATGACATTTCGGACCAACTTGGACCATTAACTAGTTGCACCATTAACAAGCCACACCATTAACTAGCCATACCATTAACTAGTCACACCATTAACTAACACCATTAGCTAGTCACACCATTAGCTAGTCACACCATTAACTAGTCATACCATTAACTAGTCACACCATTAACTAGTCACACCATTAACTAGTCACACCATTAACTAGTCACACCATTAACTAGTCACACCATTAACTAGTCACACCATTAACTAGTCACATCATTAACTAGTCACAACATTAGTCACACCATTAACTGGTCACACTATTAACTAGTCACACCATTAACTAGTCACACCATTAACTAGTCAGACCATTAGCTAGTCATACCATTAACTAGTCACACCATTAACTAGTCACAACATTAGTCACACCATTAACTAGCCATACCACTAACTAGCCACACCATTAAATAATTACAAGTTTCTCTTTCCTTTGTGTGGGTTGTTTGTGTATTGTTCCAGTCACGGTATTGTGACCGTCCATTCATCTGCTTTTCACGGCTAGTGCTTCCATTCCCATCAGAGCAGTGAATGGAACATGCGTGCAGGGTGTGAAAATATTGTACAGGAAGTCCTTGACTTATGAACACATTGGGGACCTCCTGAATTATGTATAATATTCATAATACAGGAAGTCTTCAGGTTATGAACACGTTGGGGATCTGTTTTGTGTATAATAATGGTATAATATTGTGCACAATAATGATATAATGATATGCACAATACAGACGATTATCAACGTGTTTGTAAGTATTGATGATATTTCCTCTGCTTACAGGTTGGGTCGTGCAGTTGTCCGGTCAGTAGTGAAGAACTTCTCGCTCACGTTCCTCTTTCCTATCTGCTTCATGCTGTTTTCCTTCCAACATAACCGCACCGTGTACGACATTGTGGCCGGTTCGGTGGTCGTTGAGGAACGTACGGTGCGAAGGCGCAGGAATAACAACAACGCCATTTAAAGGCGTTTCATGTTTTACCCTTGCTGTGTCACTTTTGTACATTCGTGTTGCACTCGTTGCAAGAGTGTGTGTGTGTGTGTGTGTGAGAGTATGTTTTATTGCGGTCACTGTTCATATTCTGTACTGACTCAATCTGATGCCATGTCATATAAGTTGTATCATGTATGTGTAGAAATAAAGACTAGTGCTATATATTTTATTTTTAATACACTGACTGTCACCCAATGACGCAGGGTGACCTAAACAGAAAAACAAGTTCTTGGTTTAAAATTTAATCATTTGTAAAGAAGGGGTTACTAGCCCCTTGTTCCCGGCATTGTAGTTGCCTCTTAGGATACGCATGGCTTACCGAGGAAGAATTTTGTAAATTATATGTGCAGTAATTGTCTATTTAAGTTTCCTGTGGATTGAGCACCAGCTCTTGGCCCATATTCCTCCATTCTATAGTAAATTATATATTGAAATTACCTAATTAAATTTGCTGGGAGTCGAGCACCAGCTCTCAGTGCCACCTCACATGACTAACTAATGCGTTTGAACCCTATCATGTATTACTTTTGAACCCCCTGTACCGCATTCAATTGTATAATTCTCATTTTTCCTTCATGTCAGAAAAAACACATTTTGTTTTATATTCAGTCTCTCTTGTGAGATCCTTTAAATATTTTGTACATTTCCTCGGCCTATGGCTTTTCTAGGCCTCCCTAAATGTTGGCTGAATTGGCAAAGTGCCTCTCAGTTTCAGTTACGAGGTTGAAATCGAAGAATTTGAAATGTTATATCCGGGAAACAAACTTTTTTCTTTCTAATAAATTAATTTTTACGAAGTTGTGTAAATTGTGATTTACCTACCAGTGTAAGATGTTATTTACAAAAGTTTGTGTAAAGTATTATGTATTTACGTCACAAAAATTTCTGTAAAAATATTTACGTTAGAAAATAGGTATGTGGAATGGATCATTTACAAGTAAATGTAAAAAAAAGTGTGAATAGGATCTGTTATGTTATATACAGTGCCTGTACTCTGAAGTACAGTGCCTGTACTCTGAAGTACAGTGCCTGTACTCTGAAGTACAGTGCCTGTACTCTGAAGTACAGTGCCTGTACTCTGAAGTACAGTGCCTGTACTCTGAAGTACAGTGCCTGTACTCTGAAGTACAGTGCCTGTACTCTGAAGTACAGTGCCTGTACTCTGAAGTACAGTGCCTGTACTCTGATGTACAGTGCCTGTATTCTGAAGTACAGTGCCTGTACTCTGATGTACAGTGCCTGTACTCTGAAGTACAGTGCCTGTACTCTGAAGTACAGTGCCTGTACTCTGATGTATAGTGCCTGTACTCTGAAGTACAGTGCCTGTACTCTGAAGTACAGTGCCTGTACTCTGAAGTACAGTGCCTGTACTCTGAAGTACAGTGCCTGTACTCTGATGTACAGTGCCTGTATTCTGAAGTACAGTGCCTGTACTCTGAAGTACAGTGCCTGTACTCTGAAGTACAGTGCCTGTACTCTGAAGTACAGTGCCTGTACTCTGAAATACAGTGCCTGTACTCTGAAAGATGAGTGAGAATGTTACAGTTCTGGAGGTGGGAAGTACAGTACCTATACTCTGAAGTACAGTGCCTGTACTCTGAAGTACAGTGCTTGTACTCTGAAGTAAAGTACCTATACTCTGAAGAACAGTGCCTGTACCCTGAAGTACAGTGTATGTACTCTGAAGGATGATTGAGGATGTTACAGCTCTGGACATGGGAAGTACAGTGCCTTTACTCTGAATCCAGGATGGGTGAGTTTGTTCCACTCATTCACAACTCTATTACCAAACCATTGCTTTCCTATATCCTATCCTTTTTGAATCTAAATATTAACAACTTGATACCGTGGCTGCGAGTTCTGTCTTGGTTATGTACTTTGACCACATTATTTATATCCCCTTTATACCTATTTTCCATTTATACACCTCAGTCACAGCCCCAATAATTCTACGTCATACACTACATATGTCAACATCACTATACAATACATATATCACCATCACTATACACTACATATATCACCATCACTATACACTACATATGTCAACATCACTATACACTACATATATCACCATCACTATACACTACATATGTCAACATCACTATACAATACATATATCACCATCACTATACACTACATATATCACCATCACTATACACTACATATGTCAACATCACTATACACTACATATATCACCATCACTATACACTACATATATCACCATCACTATACACTACATATGTCAACATCACTATACACTACATATATCACCATCACTATACACTACATATATCACCATCACTATACAATACATATATCACCATCACTATACACTACATATGTCAACATCACTATACAATACATATATCACCATCACTATACACTACATATATCACCATCACTATACACTACATATGTCAACATCACTATACACTACATATATCACCATCACTATACACTACATATGTCAACATCACTATACAATACATATATCACCATCACTATACACTACATATGTCAACATCACTATACAATACATATATCACCATCACTATACACTACATATATCAACACTATACAATACATATATCACCATCACTATACACTACATATATCACCATCACTATACACTACATATGTCAACATCACTATACACTACATATATCACCATCACTATACACTACATATATCAACACTATACAATACATATATCACCATCACTATACACTACATATATCACCATCACTATACACTACATATATTAACATCACTATACAATACATATATCACCATCACTATACACTACATATATCAACACTATACAATACATATATCACCATCACTATACAATACATATATCACCATCACTATACAAATATCACCATCACTATACAAATATCACCATCACTATACACTACATATATCACCATCACTATACACTACATATATCAACACTATACAATACATATATCACCATCACTATACACTACATATATCACCATCACTATACACTACATATATTAACATCACTATACAATACATATATCACCATCACTATACACTACATATATCAACACTATACAATACATATATCACCATCACTATACACTACATATATCACCATCAAAAAAATTTTTTTAAATTTTTGGGGGGAAAGGGGGGTTTTTTTTTTTAAAATTTTGCCCGGGGTTTTTTTGGGGAATTTTTTTTTTAAAAACCCAAAAAATTTTAAAAGGGAATAAGGCCCCCCATTTATTAAATTTCTTTAAAATTTTGGTTTTTTTAAACCTTTTAATTTTAAATTTTTTTTCCCTTTTAAAATTTAAATTTTTTTTTAAAAAAATTTTTTAAAAAAAAAAATTAAGTCCCCCAATTCCATAACATTTTTTCCCCCCTTTACTTTTCTTTATTAACTTGACCTTCGAAGACCTATCATAGAGTATATTTTATCTCCAAATACTTAAACTATCTTTTTATTTTTGAGATTCTATTATGTTGCATATTACATAAATCACTGGCCCCTTGAAAGACGTATCGCACATAACTTCCACCCCCGTCTGCCGAACATTGTTCCCCGTAGGACCCCCTAATTTCATAATTATAAATTACACCTAATGACTGTAACAGACCCTGCAACCTCTTCCAATCTAGTGTCCAACCAGCGGTATGTTTCCTTTGAGCCTACATTCTCTCAATAATACATCCTGACACGCATTTTCCCCACTACTATATACTTTACCTTAACATGCTAGATTTTTTATCAACGCATTTCTCGTAACTTTACACACCTACCCACCCAGCCTAAAACCCTCATCTATTTCTTTACTTTTTTCTATCTGTATTTGCGTCAATAGTGATTTTCCCGAGTTTTCTCTGGGGCTGTTACAGGCATTTTTGCCTGGTTTTCGTCCTTCTTCTATTATTGGTCGTAGCCCCCGTTTTTGGTCGTATCAATTCCGGCTTTCCCCTTAGTGATAATTGAGACTGTAAAGTTTTCTTGTAATATTAAATATCATCATGTATTAATTTTATTCATAACATAAGTATCTGTTGAAGATTCACATGACAAGCTTTCCTCTAATAAACAATATTTATTTATATTCCTTGTGGTTAATATTGCATAATTGTTTAATCAAAACTAAATGCATTTGCAACAATAATATAACATATATAAAATATTTCGTCATATATTAGCCTCTAATATCGCCAAATATTCATCAATAAAATATATTAATCATTTTCACTATTATATTATATTTCACATATCCTTATGACTATCAATTATTAACTTTTATATCATTTAGATGAATATATAATTTAACTATTAAAGTTACCAAACTTTTCCTATCATGTTCAATTATTTGTTTGACATTCCTACCCCTTACCTACCATCCATCGATCACAGACTACATTGTATTCACTACTATTCCCAAAACTATACAGTCTACACCACATTCACTTACACACACGATAGATCTGTCATCTATTCAACATATATTAGCATCTCACTTACTTTACCAATTAATCACAACAATATTTTTTTTCAGTTCTTCATATATCAAATGACTTCACTTCATACACTACTAAATTAAATGGTCTCCTATTCACACATCTTTCACCAATTAACTCTTTCACTATCACTATTCATCACATATCACCATCACTATAACAAGGGAGACAACAAATTCGAGGTAACTATATTTTATATATTATTTTGGACCTTATTGTGGTGGAGATATATAATTTTATTATTTCTTCTTCTCCTAGCTTCATATGAAGAATATTAATATGGAAATCTACAGGAAATTGATGTATTGTGTGGGGTTGGACGTTTTGACCATTTTTGTTGGGCTATATTGTTATTTGATGAGTGGGCCCAGGAGCTGGAAGGGTACCGGATGCGACTCCAAATGGAGGTCCAGGAAGCCTCCTGGGCTGTGAATCATTTTCCCAGAGAATTTGTAGGATCCTGGGATGGGAATAATATTTAATTGTGATAATTATACCCCCTTATATCTCCTGGAAGGCAGGTGAGCCTTGGTGGGCACCAAGCTCCTGGCCTCTTCTGGGAATCATCTTTAGATTGTACCAAGCAGCAAGGATGTTGAGGAGCTGGAGATCTCCTCAAGGAGATGAAAGATCCTGCCAGGATAATTCATCCCCCAGTGATGCTGGTTCATTCTGTGGGTTGTTGTGACAGTGTTAGGAGTGTTGTACTACACTGGCGATTCTTCCGTACCAGACTTCTCAAGTCACTTACACATACCAGCACCAGTGACACAGTGGTGAGTGGTGAGTTAGTACAGCTACACTGATGATGCTGGTAGCTCAACACCCCTCCCCAACCCAATACCCTCCCCAACCCCATCACCATCCCCAAACCCATCACCATCCCAAACAACCCACCATCCCCAACCCTACAGGGTATGGAGTTTTTGTAGCCAATGTACCCACTTTGTGCAGGTACAGGACTGTAAACAGCTTCTGAAAAATCCGGCGGTTTAATCAATTCATAATGCACGAAGACGCAGAGGTCATCGTAGATATGGCTTTTGCAATTTTTAAAAATAAGGATTACGAAAGACGAGCACTGATGCTGAACGGCCATGTGTTGACTGGTCCAAGAGGTGAGACCCCACCAGAAAACAAGTTAGTTGAGCCAGCATAAAGCAAGTATTAAAGATAGCCGAAACCAAAGTAAAACCACATTCCAGAATGCACAACAACATGAAAACTCAAATTTGGGTAGTAAAAATGTGTTTTAAACAGTTATAATATAAGGGTATTGGT